ACCAAATAGGCAATTTTTCTGTATTTGGAAAAAGGAAGGCTTCAACGACAAGAAATTAAAATGTGCAAACAATTAAGAAACCAGAAAATTGAAGCTTTTGGCTTCTTATTTAAGAGCCAAGAAAATTTTGCAGACAACAATTAAAAAACCAGAAACTTGAAGTTTATATTTATTTAAGGCAAAACTTTATTTTCACACATTCATGTGGTTTGAAATTTATCACTTAGACTTGTTTAAATAATTTATCATTTAAATTCCTGCAGTTTCAAATTTTTACTTAAACCCCTTGTGGTTATGAAAATGAAAAACTAAAAAACTAAATAGTTAAAATAAATTTCCCCTTTTTTTTAGAACATCTATTTTTATTTTATATCATCACTTAATACATGTATAATTTAAAAAAAAATTTAAAAATAAAAAAATTCACTTATTTTTATCAAGAAATAAATTCAAATCAAATATTAGTTTATTTATCTATTTTTACCCGATATCGTTATAAAATTATCTAAAGAAAGTAAATATATTATTTTGATAATACATATTTAATTTATCTTAAATAATATTTTTCAAATAAATAAAAAAGTTAAGATAATTTATAAATTAATTTCAGAATAAATAACTTTAAATATTTTTTAAACTCTAAATGAATTAGACGAGGATATAAAATAAAAAAAGAAAGAAAGAAATTTTAAATTTTTATTTTCTTAAATTTTTATTTTTTAAACTACAAAGGATCTAAGTTAAACAAAAATTATAAGCACAAGGGATCTAAGTAAAAATTTAAAATCACAGGGAGTCAAATGATAAATCACAAAACTATAGTGAGTGAAAATAAAAATTTTCCTTGCATACCAATTTTTTTCCCCTTTATTTAATAAGAGAGTTCAATTAAGTGTGCATTTGCAATTCTGGCAACACGCGTATTTAGTTTAAGGAAATATTTTTATTTTTATTTTTATTAATGATTATAAAAATATTATCGTGTTTTGTTCTATTTTCAGATATTTGTAAAGGAAATAATAACACTAGCACGATTTTGTTGTCCCCTCTCAATTTTATAGATAAATATTTAAAAATAAAAAATAAAATAAAAACAAGGTTATATTTTTGTAATTAATTATTAAAATAAAAATGGAATCTGGTATTGTCAAACTGAGAAGATGTCGATGCCCTGGGCCTCTTTGTACCAGAGGTGCTGCCAGTCTTCCTTCCTCCGGTGCCAGTTGACTTCTTGACCTGTTTTCCTTGCATTCAGAAAAGTCCCAAAGCAGTAATTGAAAATCATCAGTGTTAATTTTGGAACTTGGCAGTTAAGAGTGGATCATAGAATTCCTAGATTTATTCTATGTAGTGACTGCAATTGAACTTACTGTTATTACCAGTATTAACCATAATCCAGCTAGTGTCATTTGATAACTATCTGCATGCATCAATATAATGCATTATGATTTAGCAAGCAGTTCAATTTAAACCATAATTTCACTGGCTAATCAAATCAGAACTATAGTTATCATCAGAGAATCAGGGAACAATATCCATGCTTTTATGCCACATAAAAATAGCAGAGAATACTCAATGGCATAGCATAGACAAAAAGGTTATCTCTCTGTTTGCATTTGAGGTCAATTCAGAATGTTCAATTTCATTCCACATTCATACTCATTTCCACATGACCAACATGCAAGTACATGTAATTTAAATTCACAAATCTTCTATGGTTAAGTATGTAGCATATCCATCATGTTAAATTCTAAGATTCAGACAGACAGAAGGTCATAACATATGCTTGAAAACAATTTTAGAAACATGAATATCTAAGCTTTCAGAGAAAATGATTGTACATGTTTTTTGTTTATTATTTTTTGGTTATGTACTCTGGAAAACTTTTTGGCACAAGAAGGTTAATTGATAGGAGCAAGAGACATGCTATCTCTTAGTTAATTTGATGATATAAACCATATTTTACATATTTTACAATTTCTCCCAAAAATCAAAAAATAGCGTTTCCGTTTGCGTGTACCTTTCAGCTTCACATTTTGGCTCATTCTTATCACGTTTCATTCACTGTTCAACATCAGATCCCTTAATTTTTTACTTCTGTTAACGAACCTACTCTTTGAGCGTCCCAAAGCCTCCAATTTTGACCTGAATGATGGTACATTCGCTAATTTTGAATTTCACTGCATTTTGGTTTTGATTCTACATTAAATATTTTTCTATTCTATTTTTTATTTTATTTTTGTATTCTTCTGGAGTTGCTTGCACAATTAATGTAGGATTTTTTTTCTCATTTAAAAAACTATAAGAATACATTTTCGTGCATTGGAATTAAAAATAATTATGTAAATGACAGTGCCAGTGATCGAATAGAACTATGAAATAGCTGAAATGACATATGAACAAAGGGTCAGGTTATATTTACAAACTTTTTTGTTTACAAACTCTTACAAACTACACTATGTAGGACCGGTCCTACATTAATCACACAGTGTACGACCGGTCCTACATTAGTGTAATTGCAAAAAAAGTCTGTAAACGGATCCTGTCCCATGAACAAATAGCTAAAATGGCAACAGAGGATGTGGCCTCAAGTTGTTTTTTTTTTATTAAGAGTAATTTTGGTATTTTTTTTAAAAAATTTAACTCTGTTAACAAAATTTTGAATAAAAAATTAAATTAGGGAGGTAAGTGATAAAAAAATTTTATGTAAGGAGATAGGGGAAGGATATTGTAACAACCAAGTTGTGTTATTATCATGTTACAACCAATCAATCTCACCGTTAGATCGATTATGAACATCTCTTGACATTGATTTTTTAGTAACGTTGGTAGTTTTGTTTATAGATATATGTCTATTCTTCTTATTTCTTGCAGATTGACTTCTGTCTTCATAGTGTTTTTTGGGAGAAACATGAATGCAAACTCACTATACCTTTGAGAGAAGTTCAAATGTTATGGGCAATACACTTTTAGCGAGATGCCCGTAATTAGGAAAGTATACTTTAGAAGAAATAAGGATGGGTGGGCCAGCCTCTCTTAGTTAGACCTTGTTAGTTGCAGAGAAGTTGTTAAGAGTTAGTTAGATAGCCCTCTAACTACAGTTGTAAAGGTAGTATATGCATTTTGGGAGAGAATGTAAGGGACGGCACTTGGTTGGTGAGTTTGTCTTGGAGAGAGAGATTAGGCTCTCGAATTCCTGGGAAATTTGTCTTTTGTATGCCATTATTTCTCTTTTGATCTTTCTATACCCATTGATCCAGAGCTGGAGGAGGATGCTTAAGAAAATTTTCATATTTTCTTTCCATTATTCCTAATTTCTGGTCCAGTTCTATCATACAGTTGCACATTAGTGGGTTTTTATAAAATCATTTTGTCACTTTCTCTTAAACTCTGCCATTATAGCATTAAGGGACGTTTGGTTGAGGAGAAATTTTTTGAATACTAGGGAAATGTAATTGATAGGGAAAATGATTGAAAAGTGAGTTTGGTAGGAAAATGTAAAAAAAGTTGTTTGGTTGAGTAAAATTTTTTTTTTTTTGATAACAGGTTGAGTAAAATTTTACCAAGAAAATTATGTGAAATTCCTGAAGAGTGTGTTTGGTTGAATAGAAAATATTGATGGGAAACTAATTCAAATTACGAAACTATCCTTTTAAAAATAGTATCACCTTTGCAACTTTTGCCAACTTTACAGTCACCGATTTATAAAACTTTTTCCACTTTTGCAACTTATCCGGTTTTTAGAAATAATACCACCTTCCAGGAAGGAAAATGTAACCGTGATTTTTGGACAAAAAGCGTGCAATTCAAGATAGATAGGGAACAAGGAAAGCTGGGTAAAAATCATAAAATCAGTGAACCAAACATGGATTAATAATAATGCAGGCATCACTTCCCCCAAGATTATTTAACAAAATCCTGAAACAAACACCCCCTAAGGCTATTACAAAGGAAATATAAACATATTTTAATTATTCAATACAAAATCTTGATGTTTAAGGTGATAGCTTGAATGTGGTTCAACCTTTCCTGCTACTTTCTCATATCTTGGAATTGGATCTGTGTTAAAATCTGGCTTTCGAATGTTCTTACTGAAGGAGTTAAGTATGGAGGGGAATCCTGCATAGTAGAACAAAGGTATTAAAATTTCCCCTTCCTGTCACTTTCTTGCATTTGTTGTTTTTTGTTTTTTAAAGACCATTCTCTTTGCTTCTTTTTTTTATTGATGCTTACATGATACAGAGATATTAATAGAATAGTGAAATTTTGTGCGTGTTTATCAAAATATGTTAATAAGAATAGAACTATTTAATAGAGTTGATCTAAAACGTCTAATCAATGACTTGTGGTGACAACATCAACTAAAAATTGCTAAATCAAACTTTGGGAAATAATTAAATTCTAAAGTTTGCTTACACTCTAACCTTACTGAAATCACCACAAAAATAGACACTAGTTCTGCATTAACACGAGATTATTGGATACCTTATACATGACATTCTCTTCCAAATGATATGCTTTCTGCTAGCAAGCTAGGACATCAAGGTAACCATATAAAATATCTTTGCATACTTCATGGCCTGCAAGAAACACAAGCTTATTGTAAATGCCACCATATTAGAAATGCCATAATATTTTAGCTGTAATACTGTGATATTGTAAAATCTCATTGGCAATCCTAGCTACTTTACTCCAAATATTAGTTTTTTTGCTTATGATATTTTCTGCATAAATTTACTTTGATTATTCTGAATAAACAAGACATCAAATATTTTCCCAACCATTGGTGAATTTAATCCACCACCAAACTATATGTATCATTTTAATTACAGAAGAAATAAATATTATTACCTAGGAAAGGGAGAGTACAAGATAGGTTAAGGTATCATTTTAATGTCTCATGCATTCTACACATAACTTTTCATTTTTCATAAGAAAGATGCATAGGAATAAAATGGCCAGAAGAATTGGAACACATTGCATACCATAATTCTTGTATGTTAGTGATGGTCATCTTTTGCTTTCCCTAAGTCAGGGAGTGATAGCAGACTCTCTCTATACATTGCAGTTATTAAGAATGGACTATGCCTGCGATCCTCAACCACCTCTAAGAATGGACTATGCGTGTGATACTCAAGCAGCTCTCCTTTATCATTAAGTTTCATTAATACTCCACTGAACTTTGATCCAACAACAATATCACCACCTTTGGTGAACCATAATGGGGAAAATAAGTCCCATGTACCATCTTCGGTGAACCATAATGGGGAAAAATTGTCCCCAATGTCACAAGTATACGAAACCCTAGTCGTAGTCCAAGATGACTGGACTTTATATTCTTTCATCGTCCATATGTTAACCATTGCACCCGTCTCCATGCTCAATTCATTACACAGACTGAGACATCCACCGATTACCACCAAATTGTAACATTCAGCCATCATTGCCATGGTAAGATTATGTGGCAAAGGAATCTCCAACAAACTCCTTTCAGTCAAATCAAAGGCAACAATTGTATTATGTATAACAGAACCATTAGGGTAAGCCAACCAATGAAGAGCCCCGTTGAGGAGTAACCCAAACCTGAATATCTCCTCGAGATAATCCCCATGTGGAAAATTGATACCCTCAGTTTTGTTCCATGAATTTGTTTTGAAAGAGAAAAAATGGATGTCAGATTTCCAATCAGTGTGCCACACCCAAATAACTATCAAGTAGTCATCAGTTGATGAATCATACCCAAAACCATATAGAAATTCTTCCCTGTATCTGGGCACCAGTTGATGAGGGTATGGTAGTAGTTTCTGGGCACCAGTTGAAGGATTCCATAGAAAAATATTATCATAGTTAACATATCTTAAAAGTATAAATCCTCGGCAAGAACCATAAATTTGAAGATAATAAGAATGAAGGGAAGGGAATAATGTATGCGGAACAGTAAGATGTACTATAGCAGAATCATCGTGAAGAGATGCCTCTGTATCTATGGGTACAACTAAAGGAGGGTAAGCAGGTTCAAGAAAAAGGCGGTGGGTGGGTGTAGCTAGGTCAAATTGGGATTTTGCAAATTGGGGATCGGAAATAAAAGTGAGCCATGACTTACACACACATTTGAAACGCAACAAAGATCTCACTGGTAACCTCAACAAAATCTCTACTATTAATTCGTCGGGGAGAGTGAAAGAGAGATCCATCTTCATCTTCATCTTCTCAGGTCACAAATCTTCGAATGAGCAGGAAGGTTCCTGTTGTGAAAAATCGGCAAGTGTACCGATCGCACAAGTAATATAATAGTAAGTAAAGTATCGTCTCCACAGGGATTGGGTCGAATATCAATTAATTGTTCCTTTTAAGAATGGATGAAAAAGAGTTGGTTTGAAAGTAATGGTGTTTATAACAATTGTGAACTATTCAATAATTTATGAACAATTCAGAGAGAAATTTGAAGAATTTAAAATAAAAGGTTTTTCGGAAAAATATTGTAAAAAGCTATTGCGGTAAAGGACTCCAACACCTTTCCGATCCCCACCTTGTAATATCCCCACCTCGCAATTCTAATAGAGTGATCAGTTCTAGAAGAATTAGAAGATGAAGAACAAGGTAAAATAAATGCAATTGAAATTATTAAATATAAAAATTAACCAAACTACAAGGGTTCACATCAAGGGTTGTGACCCTTACCATAATAATAAAAGACTAGCCAGACATATTCATGTCTGACAATTTAAATAATGAGAAAGAGTTCGTGAAAATGTAAAACCGGAAGAAGAAGAAGAAGTCTTGAATCTTCAGTCACCGAGAGCTTCCTCTCCAATTTCTCCTTGCCAAAAGATCCTTTTCTTTTAGAGTTTCTGCTTCCTTTATATAGCCAGCAAGTCAATCAGGTCATAATCCTTGAATTAATTTTGATTAAATTTCCATTTTCCTCATAATTCCACCAATCAATCAGGTCATAATCCTCTCATTAATTTGATTAAATTTCCATTTTTCTCATAATTCCACCAATCAATCAAGGAATGCATTCATGACGCCCGCGCGATCAGTGCCAAATTCGCGACTCCATAAATCAAGGACTGCATTCATGACGCCTGCGCGATCAGCGCCAAATCCGAGAGGACAAACAGAAAGTAATTTGCGGAAATCACGCGGATCGCGCCATTTTCGCGCGTTTTGCGCGAGACTATGCAATTTCAACTTCTCTCTTTAACTTCTTTTTGGTGTTTCCTGCTATCAAAATACATAAATTGAGTGAGAGAATGATTGAGAAGGAATAATCAATATTTCTTGCATTTATGAGCTTATTTTCACACATTTATGATTAATTCCTTGCTTCTTTTACTTAGAAATCACCATATATTAGATGCATATCAGTCGCCAAAAATTGCACTCAGATTTCAATGTGCTACGCGTGAAATTAGGAGGAGTGTATACAGGGTAGGTTACTCTACTTAAATATGTTAAGTATCTTAAAAATATATCTTAGGTCTGATATGGCATATTAGGGGTGTATTGCATTGAGATTTTAAAGGATTTTAATGGATTATTTTTGGATAAACTTTTTTATTAGTATTCGATTAGGATTTTAACGGATTGAAAATAAGTTGGTATTCGATTAGGATTTTACAGGATTATTTTAGAATCCGTCCAAATCCATTGGTATTCAATCATGATTTTAAACAATAGAATCACAATCTCGTGGTATTCAAAAATTCGACGATTTTAATGAATTTTCTATTGGTGTGGATTTCGTGAGAGTTTTTAGTGATTTTCTTGGCACAAAACAACCGGAAACAACAAACCAACGAGATTTTAATATAATCTATATAAAAAATAACATATTTTAGAGCCATTTTTGAGAAATTTTGGAAGTTTAAAAAATGGTTTTTCAAGCTATGGGTCACGGTTTTTCTTGGCACAAACACGTGTGATTTTTGTATTAGAAACAACATAAAACAGTGAAAAAATAACAGGGAACTAAAACCCTCAAACCAATTTTCGTTTTACATCAATGAAACAATATCAATTTAAAGAAAGTTTGAAACTTTCATAATATGAACCTTATATTTCGTAATAGTACATTCATGAACGAAATTTCTTCACTATAGGAAACGATTTCAAACAATTTTTGTGTCAATAGATAACTAAAAGCTTATTTCTCAAAAGGCCCAAAGCAATTTAAGGTTTCAATATATCGATTGAAAAACATTTGAGAAATTTTCTAAACTTTCATGTAATTAAACCCAAAATTTCAGATTCGAAATTTTCTTAGAATATTCAATGAAATTATGCATATGATATATGGTTAGAAAATTCTCATCAAGTAAAATAAAAACTCCAAGATTTTCAAGATCAATTGCAAAAAATTCCAAACGAAATTTTATCATGAACTTCTGATTCTATATGCAAATTTATAATTATTTTTATAATTAAAAAAATTGGATCTTATAATCATATAATCATAGCTTTGATACCAAATGAAGAAGATGTTATCAAAAAAAAAAAAAAAATGAAGAAGATAATTTTCAACCCATTAGATATGTGAAAAGTTGTTGTTTAGTAATTTTGAATGTTTCTTAAAAATTATATTATGTTTTACTGATTGAGAAAATTATATTAGGTTTTACTTTTTTTTATTAATTTCATTGCATTTCTTTGTTGTTTTTTTATAGAGAAGATTATACTTACAACCTATTTTTGTTTACAATCTTTTACAACTATATCTTAACCGTTGATTTCCTTCAATCAACGGTTATTATTTTCGCAAATCAAACTCATTAATTAATATTTTTTTTTGGTACGTAATAATTTAATATTTAATTTGCAATGAATGATAACCATTGATTGACGGAAATCATATGATTGTAAAATGTTGTAAACAAAAATAGGTTGTAAGTATAACCTTTTCATTTTTTATTGACTCTTGTAATTTTGAATGTTTGTTAAAAATTCATATGGGTTTTTAAAATCTTATAAATCCATATTGTCCTTTCAAATCTTATAAATTCTATTAAAATCCTTTCAAATCAAATTTTATGAAATCTTGATTGTAAAAAAAATCTTTAAAGTCTCTCCAATTTTAAATAGTTTTTTAAAATCTATAAGATTTTTTAGCTCAAAAAAGTCTTTTAAAATCCTAATCCAATACACCCCCTTAATTCCTTCTATCTCACTGGTTATGTTTGGAAACATTAAAATTGAAATTTATTTGATTTATTTTATATATGAATTATTACATCTGGAATTAATTATAGAAAACATAATTTAAATTTATTTGTAAATTATCACGCTTTAAACTAATTAAAATAATTGATTTTTTTTAAAAAAATTTCTTTTCTTTATTTGAAATATGTAGAATGGTAAATAAATAAGAATAAAATTATCAATTCAAATAATTAAAACTAAAATCAATTATTTACTTTTGACATCAACCACCCTTTATAATCAAACAATCCATTGACATATTTTTCACAGGCTTTCCAATTATCTTCTTGCCTCTAACAGTTCCTTGCTGGGCTTCAACTAAACTATATTGGGTTGTATTTTCGTAGTTTCTTTATCCACTGTTGGGCCTCATCTGAATGGACTTCTTGTTCTGTCCATATCAATATCAATATATCATAAAGTCACAGTAGCTTTCGGAAAATAAAGAGATAAATTGAGAAAAAAAGGAGTAAAATTTATATTATGTGTAATTTATTTATAATTCATCCTCTTTCATCATAATAGTAGAATGGTACTGTTGAAATTAATAATAATAGTGATTTAGAATTTAAGGAAATAAATAATTGCAATCTTTATTTTGTGTGAGTAAAGTATAATAATTGGCATCGTACTTAACAAATAACATGTATAAACGAAGTCAAATAATTCTATATATTTCAATGCTGTTATATGCACAAACAATTTTTATACACACATTTTCACATAATCATATGTATCATTTTTTTTTCTCTCTCTCTCTTTTCTCCCTCCTACCTTATTTTATTTTATTTTAAAAAAAAGCGACGGTCCAAAATAAATTTTGAAGTATGTAGACTTTTTATACGCAAGTACACTTTCCCATTTTGTTTGATAGAACTATGTAAGTTTGTTGCTTTCTTTTGGTTGGTTGACTATGTTTGTTCATGAAATAAAATAAAATAAAAAACAAATAATTTTCACCAAATTGAAAGAATGGAAGAAGAAACAAATTGAAGAAAGCGTCAAAATCAGAGGGGCTTTATATGACTTTGACTTGACCCAAATATGACATAGCATATATTTTTCAAGGAGTAAATATTTTTTTTATTCCCTAATAAAAAATACAGTCCTTATTTTAGTCCCTTACAAAAATAAATTAGTCAGTTAGTCTCTAACAAATTCAAAGTGGACCCATTTAGTTAAAATCGTGGTCCCTCACAAATTCAAAAAAGATCCATATTAGTTCCTCAAAAGGACTAAAATGAGTCCACCTTGAATTTGTTTGAGACTAACTGACTAATTTTTTTTTAAGGAATTAAAGTGGAGACCATTTTTTTTTGTTAGAGATAAAAAAGATATTTACTCTTTTTTAATTTTTGGTTTTTACATTCCGTCTATTAAAGGCATAACATGTAAAAAAGTTAAATATAAAAAATTAAAAATATTATATGATAAATTTGGAATCAAATAAGTTTCACGTCAGAAGTTTTTGATAGCGTATTTCTGGAATGCATATCTTTTTCATCAAAATTAAAAATAGATGAATTGACTTAATGTTAAAATAAAAATATGAATAGAATAAATATTAGAGTCCTCAACAAAAATTATGGAGGCCATTTAATCTCTTAGGAAAAAAAGTTAATTTATTATTCCTCTTAAATTTAAAATAGGATCAATTAGTCAAAATTATGATTCTCTAAAATTAAAAAAAGATTCATGTTAATCCTTCAAAAGAATTAATACGAGTCTATTTTAAATCTTAGAGATCTCAAGTCAATTTGTTACCCCTAAGAAATTAATTGGGCCTCTTGATATTTGTTTAGAATTCAAAATATATTTTATTCTAAATTATTAAATGAATTTTTTATTTTAAATTTTAATAAATGTAGCACTAAATGGCAATGCTCAGTTGAAAAAAATTTCTGCTAACTTCCTACGTCATTTCTCAGTTTCATAATCACAGCATATACGGGGCCCACAGCAAATCACATCATTTCTCAGTCCGAATGGTGATTGGTATGTCGAC